AAAAAAATTAGAAGAAAGTAAAAAGAGTTAGAAGTTTGAAAAAAAATAAAAGGAGTGGAAATGAGTATATTTTTTTGATAAAATAAGTTATACTAACATATTTTTTTGAAAGGAGTTTAAATATAATCCTAACATAAATTCCAAAAAATTGTATATTTATTGTTAAAAATAGCCATATAAGGAGTTATTTTTTTATTCCTGACATTGTTTTTAGATGAAAAGTCTATTAAATTTTTACATAAATAAACAAATAATATACTACATAGATTATAATTAAAGCATAGTTTTAAAGCATAGCATCAATATCTTAATTTTTAGTATCAATGTCATTCCTAAAATTTCTCATTTCTTAGTTTTGTGTCCCTAACTCATGTCAAAAAAATGTTGAGACGAAATGAGAAATGTTTTTTATTAATGTTTTTAGAGGAAGAATTCAATATTTATCGATCAAACAAAAATAATATTAAATTTCACTTTATACACTAAAATAATTACAACTTAAGACGTGGCTCATGAAATGACTCGGGAATTAGCAATATTCATTTATTATTAGAAATAGTCAATGTGATACAAGTTAATTACTTTAGAGCTTCAAAACTCTACTATAGAGCTTCAATCTCTATGGTTTCAGCCGGGGTATAGTGGGGAGGGGGGTTTCTTTGCTTTGTTTATGAAATCATAAAACTCGAAGAGTAACAAAGAAAATATACATTCGTCCAAAGCAAATAAAATCATTTTCTCCTTTTGAGTTGATAATATTTGTCCTCAAAACAGAATTTTTTTACCACTTATATAACCAAACGTAGGAAAATTAAATTAAAATTTCCTAAAATGTATTTTTCTTTCAACCAAACATATCTTATGAGTTTCATTTTCTTGAAGAAAAAAATACAGAACAAAAAGAAAAATCGTTCAGTCTCGTGCGTTGTACGGGTTAAAATGCTAGTATGTATGTATATATATATATATATATATATATATATAGACACACACACACAAAAATTGTTATTGGGTACCCTAAGTTTTGGGATAAAAATTGTTGGGTACTTCCAATTTTAAAAACATACTATTGGCCGTTTTTTTAAAATTTACTAATGTGTGATTTTTTATCTTTCCGTCAAATGCTCCGTTACTTTTCTTATTCACCATCATCATCTTCTATTTCTTTCCTCTACTTCCTCCTCCTTATCTCCTCCTCCCCCCTTCTTCTCTTCCTCAGTTCCTCTTCTTCATTTGTTCTTCTCCTCCTGTGCATCGAGACCCCCACTGCATCCCTTCTGTTTAATTCTATTATTATTATTATTATTAGGAAAAAAAACCCAAAATAATCCCAACTTACCTGATTTTTCAAAAATAATCTCACATTTCACTGTGATGCATAATAATTCTAACTTTATTGAAATTTGCAAGTTTTGGGTCGCCGTTAAGTTTCTAACGGAGGGTTAACGGAAATGCCCGTTTTAGGCAACAAAATGAAAGTTGGATTATTTTTAATGATTTTTTTTTTAATTTTTTTTTTAAATTTTTATTAATTTTTTGAATTACTTTCAACCTCCATTTCTTTTCTTTTTTAAAGATTATTTTTACCTTAGAAAAAAATAGATATAAAAAACTATGAAAATGAAAAAAATAACTAAAATCATATAAAATTAATCAAATAAATAATGTAATCAATAGAAATTAAACAGAAACTGGTAAGAAAAAAATAAATATATACGGAGTGGTGGATTTTAACATTTTAATTTACACACTATACGGAGTCTTAATGTACTACGGAGTACTTATTTTTTAAAAGAACAAGTCGTCCGGTAAAGTTGGAATCATTGTAGATAAATTTTTTCTAAAAAATAAGAAGTGATATGTTAATACTTTATATAGTGCATGAAATATTAAAACCCACCCACATATTTTTATTTTACTTATTACCAATTTCAAGTTAGTTCCTATTGATAACCTTATTTATTTTATTATTTTTGTATCATTTTAGGTACATTTCTTATTTTTTTATTTTTTTATATCTATTATTTTTTTTAACTAAGACTAATCTTTAAAAAAGGAAAAAGAAATGATGATGGAGGTAGAAAGTAATTTTTATATCTATTTTTTTTAATTGCACAAAACTTTCATTTAAATTTTTAAAATTACTTTCTACCTCCATCATCTTTTCTTTTTCCTTTTTTAAAGATTAGTCTTAGTTTAAAAAAAATTATAGATATAAAAAAATGAAAAAATAAGAAATGTACCTAAAATGATACAAAAATAATAAAATAAATAAGGTAATCAATAGGAATTAACTTGAAATTGGTAATTGATGGATACCCTGGACAGGGGTATCCGATCTTTGTATAATATAAGTTGGGGTGGTCTAGTCTGTTGGACCGGCCCGTTAGTTGTATGTTGATTATTTATTTAAGGGCGGCCTAGTTTGTTGGGTCGGCCCATTAGTCCGAAACCCTAGCCCTCATTCTCCTTATTTATACCTTCTTCTTGGAAGAGGGGAGGGAGGAGGAAAAGAGGAGGCTCACCACTATTCATTCATCTCCTTCATCCAATCTTGACACTCTTCCCTTTCTTCCTCTACCATTGGGTTCCATAACCCAACAGTAATAAGTAAAATAAAAATTTGCGGGTGAGTTTTAATATTTTATGCACTATATAAAGTATTAACATATCACTTCTTATTTTTAAGAAAAAACTTATCTACAATAATTCCAACTTTACCAGACGGCTTGTTCTTTTTTTAAAAAATAAGTAGTACATTAAGACTCCGTATTGTGTGTAAAATGTTAAAATCCACCACTCCGTATATATTTATTTTATTTCTTACCAGTTTCGATTTAATTTCTATTGATTAGATTATTTATTTGATTAATTTTGTATGGTTTTAGTTATTTTTTTCATTTTCATTGTTTTTTATATCTATTTTTTTTCTAAGGTAAGAATAATCTTCAAAAAAGAAAAGAAATGGAGGTTGAAAGTAATTCAAAAAATTTAAATAAAAATTTAAAAAAAATTAAAAAACAAAAATTCATCAAAAATAATCCCAACTTTCATTTTGTTGCCTAAAACGGGCATTCCCGTTAATCCTCCATTAGAAACTTAACCGCGACCCAAAACTGAAAAAGTTCAATAAAGTTGAGATTATTATGTATCACAGTGAAATGTGGGATTATTTTTGAAAGACCAGATAAAGTTGGGATTATTTTGGGAAATTTTTCATTATTATTATTATTATTATTATTACTCATATTATTCTTGTTATTATATTATTATAACAGTTATTATTATTATTATTATTATTATTATTATTAATTACAGTAGTAGTTTTACTACTATAAATTTTTAAACAAATACTAAGGCTCCCACCAAAAAAATCGTATAGGCCGTTTAACTTATCCCAATCTACTTGAGTAAAACAATGATAAAATCTTTTGAATATTTTTTTGAATATTAGTTTTGGTGATATAATTATTTATAATTTTAAATGGTTCACTCTCGTATTTACTTGGTTATAAACTTTATTACTACTTGCCAATTTGCCATACAAATTCGTTTACACTGTTCAAACAATATATAAAATAATTTATTTTTTCAAATATGACTTTATCCATAAATTGTTATAAAAAATGTGAAAAGGTTCTACAAAGAAACATGAGAGAAAGATATTGTATTTAAAATAAAATATTTAAAATAAATCATTTTATTTTTACCCAAGTAGAGATTAATGGTGGAATAAAAATATTTTGGTGAGGAATTAGAGTTATTTTTAGATATAGAGTAGTATACCTACTAATTAAATTTAATAGTAATAGTAATAATAACAACTAAAATACAAGCATGTTAGGAGTATACTAAAAAGCGTACCCCAAAATAAATGTAACGATATTTTATTGGTTTATTGGCACAAAATGTTAGTTCTATTAAAATTTGTAGTGACATTTTTTATCAATATAAACTATCATACTAGCATCACACTAGCACAAAATATTGGTGTATATCTTTGGGCACAAAATGAACTACAAGTTTTAGTGTACAAATAGCTTAATCAATAATAATAATAGTAGTAGCAATAATAATAATAATAATAGTAGTAATAGTAATAATAATAATAATAATAATAATAATAATAGTAATAGTAATAGTAATAGTTATAGTAATAATAATATTAATAATAATAGTAATAATAATAGTAATAATAGTAGTAGTAATAATAGTAATAATAATAGTAGTAGTAGTAGTAGTAATAATAATAATAATAATAATAATAATAATAATAATAATAATAATAATAATAATAATAATAATAATAATAATAATAATAATAATAATAACAATAATAATAATAATACTCACTCCGTCCCACTATATTTGTCACTTTCATTTTTACACACCATGCAATACCTTTCCGTAATCAATTTTATCTTGTAATTTGTATATTAAAAAATTATAGAAATTATATATTAATAATCTATATGTTAAGACAAATCAAACAAGATCACACATGACTATATTTAGGCTTACAATTGAAAGAATTTGATGAGTCAAAGTGTATAGATGAACAATTCCAAAAGTCAAAATTGGACGAATATGAGGTAGCAATAATAATAATAATAATAATAATAGTAATAATAGTAGTAGTAGTAGTAATAATAATAATAATAATAATATACAATATATACAATATATACAATATATATATATATATACAATATATATATATATATATATATATATATATACAATATATATATATATATATATATATATATATATATATATATATATATTATATACGGAGTATATATACACGGAGTAAGCTTTTTTTTCGTTAGCTAATTGACGGAAGTCACGGAACTGCTGTCCACCACACACTACCTCCTCCACCGCCCTAACTTCTCCTCTTATCTCATCTATATTTATTCCAAAATATAAACTCCATGTCAATTTCTCAGTTCTCACCTCTCCCTGCCGTTTTGCCGACGATGTAATAGCTCATTGGACTACACTTTTTTCTTTTGTTTATAGATCGGTATTTTAGAGATCTTCAACAGTGAAGTATCTAAAAATTTGGCTTCCTTCAATAGCGAGCTTTTTAGAATTTTTCGCTTATTCTGTGTCATCTTTGACCTCCAGGTAAACTCTAATTTCTTTTTTTGTTATCTCTTCCTTCTAGCTGTTTGTTCTTCATTTGATTCTCGTCTCTTCCCTAAGTAAGCCTAGGATTTGTATTCACATTCTATTGCCCTTTGCGGTAGGTTGCTAACTGTTCAAGATAATCTATTGTTGCACTTAGTTCTTTACATTCTTCTGCTTATTTTCAATTCCTTTGATAATTTCATATTCAGAAAGTGTGAAACTCACAAATGCCCAATAAACTGTTGGCTTTTCCTTGCAATTTGTTCGGAATTCATATATACTTTTTTTTGTATTTTTTATTTGCTTTTCCATTGATTTTTTTTAGCCAACTTAATTTTGAATGCTCTATGCAGTTGTAAATCAGCTTTACACACAGTGAAGCTCTTTTTACCATTTTGTTGTTCGGAACTCATGTACTTTCAATTCCTTTGATTTGAATTGCAACTTCATGTATTGGGTTTAAACTATATACCTTTTTGTGAGAAGGTGGCAATTTGATTTTTTTACTGCATAATTCTTTCACTCTGTGTGTTTAGTGTTCGGTGTTATTTGTACACTTTTGTTTGATTTCAAAAAGCCTAAGAGATGAAAATTGAATTCATACTATTTTTAGCTAATCTCGAAAAAAAACTGGTTCAGTTTGAGTAATGCATGAACTAAAACACAATTGCAGAAGCCTAATAGATTGAGAATACAAGTGTCAATGAAAAAGAACTGTACCTTGTTTAAAATAAATTACAGGAACAAGGAGTAAAAAAATTAACTTCAAATGCTTTTCTTTGTTGTTGTTTTCAGTTTTCATGTTTTGTTTACTTGTGGTCCTAAAGTTTCAGTATTACTTTGCAATGTAATATTTTTTGTTTTAGAAAAAACAATACCTATCTAAATCGTTCTATCAAAAGTGTTTTTTGTTTTAGAATTTGTTTCATTCCCAGGCATGAATTTGCATCAACCTTTTTAGTTTGGTTCCTTCCATATTCTCTTTTTCACCCCACTTAGTAACTACATTCAACTCTAATCAAAAAACAAATACGTGAATTAGGTTCTTTTTTGGTTCACATTTAGTTTCAATGGAAATTGGCTCTTCAACTACATCCTCCTCTAACCCAATACGACCACCCCACTACAGCTCATCTCTAATCTCTTTCACCCCACGATGATTTCTTTCTTCTCCACCTCCCGCTGCCCACCCCGTGCTCAGAATTTTCTCACCATGGCACCACCTCACAGTTCCAAACTCACTGCACTTGATTCTTTTTCCCCCTTGAGGCAAATATTTTCTTATTCAATTCACTCCCACAAAACTTTACATATGGATGTTGGTGATTCTTTTATTGGGGGAAATTTTGTTTTGTGTAATATCCTTATGCTAGCGTGGATATTAACCTTAATTTTGTACTCGGGTCTAGATGTTTGTGTGAATAAGGTACAAAATTTGAATTTTTATTACTTTTCTTAGTTATATTTGGCTTGTTTTATCAAATTGAATTAACTTTTAACTTGGTTGTTGTTGTACTTTACTTCATGCGTTTGATTTGGATTTTTAGATTTTTTCTTTTCAGTTTAGACTTCTAAGGTTGCTTCATAAATTGGAAATCAAATTGTTGGATATTTTCTCTTGCTTTCATCCTTTTTGAGTAATTGGTAGATAGATTAGATCCATGTGTTTGGTATTTAAGAGTATTACAACAAAGAACAACTTTTGATTTTTCTAAATTCATCATTTGAAACTAGATATCTTAGCTAGGGATAATATAGATTTGCTTGATTTGATTGGGACTTATTTTTTGAGTTGCTTGCGAGATGAATCAAACACTGTGAAAATAGAAACCTAAAATTTTGAATTCGAACTAAATTTTCTACCCGATTTTAAACCCTCATGGGTTCAGCGCATTTTGATTTTACATTTTAAATAGAAGATGTTATTTCTTATTAGAGTGTGAGACTTTTGTACCTTGCTTTCGAGTAGTTTTATCCTCTTTTTATGCTTTCATACTTGAGGGTTTGTTGTTGTTGCTAATAAGATCGTGACAATGAAATTGTAGAAAAGCTTACAAACTTATGTTTTGACACCCTAAGTATTAGTGCAAAGCTCAAAATTGATGGTATTTAGGACTCCCAAAAGATACCCTTGTTAGTCCCAAACTCTAAGGAAACAAGGAAGAATGATTAGGGGTTGGGAATAAGTAGTATTTTTTATTTGTTGAGGTTTAGTTTGAGTATTCTACTTCAAAATAGCACATAGTAAATACATCTTCAATTCTTTCACTTTTGTGAATTAAAAGTTTTTGGGAGGATAGATTAGAATAAATCATCATATAGCTTTATGTTTTGAGCTATCCTTAACGATCTACTTATTAAATTCATTTTATGAGAGGTAAAGCTCATAAATCTTTTGTATGCATTCACTATGAGTATTGTTCTCATTTTACTTCAATATTATGGGATCTACGTCATTTATTAGGATTGCTTGCTAATTGTTAAATCAATTGATTGATAGGCTAATTTTTGAAGGTTAATTGATTCATAGGATATATACCAACCATTACAGCTAAGGATCTTGTACTTCAGTGACACTGTTATGGCACTCTTAAATAAGAGGTCACATGTTTGATTCCCGGTGCAGACAGTAACTCTACGAGCTTTAATAAATTGAGACTGTATGAACAAATAATACTACATTGTAATAGAGTTATTAGTGTTCAAAAAAATTAACTGTAACATAAATGAATTTTAAATTATCCAAGTACTCAAAATTCAAATAGAATATATGAAGTTGGATCAATATATTTCTCAAAATGGTATCCACAACCCTACATTTCTTGCCTTTTTTATTGACAGAAGGAAAATGTAATTTACACTCATCTTGCAGGCTCTTCAAGTCATTTTTTTCTGGCCTAACAACTTTAACTTTTAAAATATGTATGTGGTCTGGGAAACATATCTCTTATCAACAAATTATATCCAAATTTGAAACCCAATCTCACAGTGATTACCAATGCAGGTGAAAAAAAACTTTTAGAAGTAATCAAATGTCTGAAGTGCTCCTCTTCTATCTAAACATGGAGGCCTGTCGTACTAAGCAAGTCTTTTGGGCAAGAATAAGTAAGAAAAACCATTAAATCATTTCCTAAGGTATCCTTTTAGGAGTTTTTTGCTTAAGCATTTGACTAAAAGCTTCCAGTTGTATGGTTTGGGCAAATTTTTTGTACAAATCTGTGTCTTCCTTTATGTGTGTTTTGAACTGAATGCAGCTTTACATCCATTTTATTATTTTTTTTTTGTTGCAGTCCTTGCAGAGAGAATACCCATTTTGTTAAACAAATTTTTATATAGTTTCAAATCCCTTTTCACTAAAATGAAGTACCTAAAATTTGGGCACCCACACACAAAGTGTGTGCTATGCTAGTGTGTGTGTGTGTATATATATATATATATATATATATATATATATATATATTACTGTAGGGAGTGGAGTATGATATGCTAGGGGTACACCAAAGGTGTACCCCAAATGTACACCACCCTCCTTTTAACCATTCATTTTATTTTATTTTTATTTTTTATTTTTTTTTTGAATTTTTCTTGCCTTTTTTGTGTGGTGATGGAGGGGGTGGGGGATGTTTGGGGTACACTTTTGGTGTACCCCTAGCATTTTCCAAGAAAATAAGAAGAAAAGAGATGAAAGAAGAAGAAAGGAGGTGAAAGAAGAAGAAAAAGAAGGTAGTGACTGGAAATAGAAGATGAAAAAAAGAAATGAGGTCAAATTAAAAATTTTAAGATATACGGAGTATAAAATTCTAATTTGCCCCGAATTACCGGAAGTTAAACTGGAAACAGGTAAATAGATTTTAGTGAAAAGATTATGTAAGTTCAAGAATTTTTGTGAATAGATTTGAAGTTTAGATACGATTTCGAAATTCTTGTGAAAGTTTAGGTACCAATACTGAAATTTACCTAAAATATTCATATTTATTTTATACTCCATCCGTTTAGGAGTAAACTTTTTGTTCTACATTTTTTTTCCGTTTAAAAATAATTTTCTCATTCTACTATTTTATACCGATTCTTCCTAAATTACCCCTTCCTTTCCACTCTTTTCTTTTTTTTTCTCATACCGTTTCTCCTCTCTTCCCCTTTTTCTCTCTCTTCTCCTCTTCCTCTATCATCTCATTCTCCTTTCCTCCCCTCATTCTTCTTTTCTTTTCTTCTTCTTCTTTCTCCTCATCTCTCTTCCTTTGTCATCTCCTCTTCTTCACTTTTCCTCCTTCATCTTTTCCCTTCATTATCTCCTTCCAGATCCAAGCTTATTTATTCTTCCAGATCCGAGTTTGGCAGCGATGGTGGCGACAGCTACGGTGTTAGCGGGAATGATGGTGAGTCTAGATTTCCACTTCTCCTTTTTCTTCTTAATTTCTTTGAGATCTAAATTTCTTTCTCAGCATTCTAAAATTTCTTTCTCATCATTCTTTATTTCTTTGAGATCTAATGCTAGGGCTATGACGGTGATAGTGGGACTGGAGCAATTATGGTGGAGGGGGATGGTGGAGATGGTCGGAGTATGGATCGATGGTGGAGCTGACGAAAACGGCAGGGCTAGCAGCGAGGAGGATAGGGGCTACGGTGGAGGCGGTGGTGGGGACTTGATGGTGGCAGGGGCAGGGCTGGGAAAGGAAGGAGTGGGGGTATTTTAGAGAAATTAACCCATAGTCAAGATCCACTAACGCGGAAAAGTCAAAATAGGAAGTACTCCCCCCAGCCGGTTGTCATCTCACCTCTTAAATCAATTTTCTCCTTCACTTTCCTCTGTGTGCTTACCACGAACCATGAATCCCAGCCATTCTCGCCGCCCACCGCCCACGATCTAAGCTTCTTCCCCGCAGAGTATTATATTCTTATCCTCCTACAATTTCTTCTTCCGTTACGGCTATCGTCCTTCAACTTCGCAGGTATTCCCCTCTTCCTAATTCAATTCTTCCTTCTCCAAATTCACAGCGAGTAGTGCGATGACAAAGTGCGTGGGTGCCCAAATTTCAATTCTTCCTACAAAAAATTTGCCCAACATAAAAGGCTTTCCTAATATGAAATTATGAACAAAAATTATACATGCAATGGGTAATTTTATAATTAAATCAAATCAAAGCTAGGATTAAAACCTTTGGCTTAGAAACTGCAGCTTTCTAACCATTTTATGATTTTTGTATGGTAAAAGTTATTTTGAGATTTATCACAGAATAGGGAGTATATGGTAATTTGGTGGTTAAATCACTTAGAACTTAGAAGCCGTAGTTTTCTATCTTCCATGATCTTCCTCTTTACCGTTTTATGATGCTTAAGAAGATAATTGCTTCTAACTTCAATTATACCTTTTAATGTTAACTTATTAGCTGTAAATTATGATATCTTTGTCAAGTTATGTTCATAAATGTTTTTTTAAAAGTGTAGCTTGTGCAGTGTGAAAATCTAGAAAATCAATTCTGCCTCTATGTGTATGTGACTTTTAGTTTTGGATTTGTTGGTTGGTGTTTGATGTTTTTATTTTTCTAAAATTTCAATTGATTATTCCCTCTATTTCAACTGCTCTTTAATTTACTGCATTTTTGAAAAAGTCCTTTCTTGTCCATTTTTTTTTACTCAAAATGAGTGGTGTACGAAGGCTCTTGATGACATGCTTGATACCCGATCGATTAATGGATTCGCCAGATCCCACATACCTCTACCCGGAACCCAATGCAGGAATCCATCCTGTTTTATTAAGCAGGGACCCTATAGTTAGAAACCAGTTGCCATTTTTATGGTCAGCCCAACCCGTAGTCGGGTCTCTGAACTCCAACAGACCAAAGCCGGGTGGAGGAATAATAACTGGATTACCCGGATACTTGGTCCATTTAAGGAGGAGGGGATTAGAAAGATTGGCAGGATATTCACTTGATAAAGCGTGGCATCTTTATATTTAAAAAAACAAAGAAGAAAAAACATGTCTAAGTACCTACAATGCATGTTTAAAAATAAATTGTTGGAAAGAAAAGGGATTTAGTTTTTGTATGTGTGTGTGGGGTCAAAAGCAAATAGGTGAAGCCAATAATTATACTAATAATGTAATAATAATCATCATAATAATAATTTCATTCTTTTTCAATTCCATCTTATAATTGGTCAAAAAGCCATAATAATGTGGACATCTATGTGGTTTAATTTGGTTGCCATTCCTGGGAAAGAAACATTGTAACACCCCAACTCGCGTGACCCGAATACAAGGACCAGCGGATCGGGTTGCTACTACATTGGCATTCAAACACAATAATTTTCAAAACAATTTAAAACATTTAATTCAAAACAATATTTAAATATCCATCAGAGTAAATCAAAACGGTTGCGGAAGCCTTTAAGTACTTAATCAAAATACAACTTTGGGTTCTTGCCCTTAAGAATATAATAATTCAAACCTAAATATTAAATCAGATAACTCCTCCAGCCAACATCCATCCATCTCTTTGCCCTCGCTGCCCTCCAGGATAGTTCCTTATTCATCATTCGTGTTACCTACGTGTAGCAAATAGGAAAAAGGGCTACACGCTCAGCAATGAAGCTGAGTGGAATCTATCTAACGTTCCACTACGCACATAGACGAACCCACTAGCTCATAATTCCATACAATATCATGCACCTAAGTACAACATCAATAACATCATTAATATCATGTAATTCATCAATTAAGCATAATTATCATAATTAACAAACTTACCTCATAATCCACTTCTTTATCCCTAGGCTCATAACCTATCCTAGGCTAAGGCCAACTACTTTATTCTAGAGTCCTGATTCAACCACATCCATGGAAGAACCCGCTCGATACGACGTCATCCAACGTCGGCTGGGTGGGACCACCTACTCACATCCATGAGTAGATCTACGACCCCCGTGCGCACGCTCTACCCAACTGATCATGCGTGCACGCCGGCTCATCACATGACCAGTTATTCCTAACTGTATCCTTATTCTATTTTCTCGGTCTACCCATAATTCATATAGGTAACCTATCTCATTAACTTACTTTAGTTATTCACATCCAAGCTAACAGCAACCTCAATTTACTTAATCCGTTTAAGGCATATCAGATTATATCCATAATAAATCAAGAGAGTAGAAATAGATAAATAAATCATCATGCAATCCAAATAGCGGCCTTATGTCGGGTGTAAACACCTTCCGTTTACCGTCATGCAACACATAAAGTTTCAGAGTCAATTCAGGTTCCAAATCGAGTCAAACAGTCAAACAATGAAGATTTGCAGCTGTCGGTACGGTACCCGTCACGGTACCTCGGCACCGCCTGGCGGTACCTTGGTACCGTCGGTACGGTACGGTTCGACCGTCCCACATATGTACCGGCAACAGCAACAAGCCTGAGGCGGTAGCTGGGTACCGTTTGGCGGTACCAGGCTACCGTCTGGCGTCGGAAATTTCCTAAAACAACTCAGTTCGATCCAATTCCAAATCATTCATTACGTATTATGTTTTTAAAGGTTATTATCATGCAAATCATACCAATTGAAAGTAAGAAACATACCTGGTCGTCCTCGTTCAATCAATTTCAACAATAACATATAACATAGATAAATCACAATTTAATTATAGACAAATAAACCACGTAATCAACCATACGAAACTACGAATGTGAATTTCAAATCTATATACGAAATCTAGCGTTAGATGTGCAAGTTCAGACCTCGAATAGTTGATGAATTAAACCGAAACCAACCGAATTGAATCACCGACGAAGAGAATGATGGTGACGGCTGTTTCCCCGTGACGCGAGCGGCGGCGGCACAGAGGAGCAGTGGCGTTCTGGCACTCCGTTCTTCCGGCAAATCTCTGACGAAATCCGTCCCTCCTTCTGTCTGGTGCAATCGGCGAATTGAAGAAGAGGAAGGAGCGGCGCTGATCCAAGTTTAGGCAGAGTCGTGCCTTTATACACGGAGTATGCATTCTTGCGGGTTGGGTTAGGAGACTTGGTGGACGTAGGGTGTATTATTGTATTATTATTATATATTATTATATTATTATATTATAAAATCTTTATATTTAATTATTGAACTGTAACTTCTATTTTACTCACCACGCTTTACACATAAGTCCAAATTTAACAAACTATATATCGTTGGTCATCATTTTACGAGATCTATCCGAAAACCCAATTTTCATTTAAAATGGACAACTTTACAAATAATTCATATTTTAGAGTAAATAAATATTATATTTATTTTTATTAAAATAACGGCTAACTACTAAGCCGGGTTTTGGGTCGTTACAAACATAGCATTGGTGCTTAATCCAACATCTGCAGGTCTAGTGTTTGCTGCCAATTTTTCAAATCAAACCATAATCTAAAATCTAAACATCTTTCCAGCTACAAATCATCAAAAAACCACCATGATCCCTCCACCAGGAGGGGTTGTGGCAGAGCCAGTCCAAACGTCTCTCCATCTGTTTTTGATTGACCTTCTGCTTCCAATAGCTTGGGTCATTATCATAGGCCATTATGAGATTGCCTCTTGCTTTATTATCAGCTTCTCTGTTTTCGATATTAGGGTCATCATTTTCATATACTTCTTGAGCTTTGAGGGGTGCTTCCTTAAATCCGCCCCTTTTAGCCGCCATTTCTTTGAGTGATAAACTATTCTCAAGTTTCTTACTATGAATTCTCACCCTAAGAAAGGGAGGGTGGTGTAAATGAAAACCTAGATGAGGATTCTCCCTTCGGTTACTCAGTGGAAACGGCTAGGTATCCACCTTAAGCCTTTCCTCGTTTCTTGTAAAATGTCGAATAATTTAGTGCATATTTTTCATAGAAGCCTTCCTATGTAAGGGAAAGCTAATCTCCCTTACATATGGTATAGTCCAGTGCCTCAAATATGGGCTATTAGCTTATTTACTGTTGGATTATGATTGGAATCAACACCATACTGCTTGTGGTACCTCTCTCTCCTTATTAATAATGAATTGGGTGAGACTCTAACGAGGCTCAGATGCAGACCTGTGGTGGGGGTAAAAACGTTCGGTGTCTAGGTAGTTGTTTGGTTTCATGCTTGCGTTGTGTTTTGACTTTACATTTTAAATATACGCTGATACTTATTATTGTAGTGTCACATATTTGTTCCTAGCTTTGCAGTTTTTTTGTCCCCCTTTATATGCTTTCATACTTGAGGGTATGGTGTTGTTCCTAATGGAATAATGATGAACATAAGCGACTATATAAGGAGAACGGTTGATGCCGATCAACACCTTAGGGAAACCTGGGTAAAACGGTTGCTGGACTCGGTTTCGTGCTTATTTGACCTACTGCACGACTACCAAGTCGAATTTTTAAAACATTTTGGCATGCTTATTTGTAATTCTGTCCTCACTCATGACTTCATTCATACTTGTATAATGAATACTGCCTCTGCCACGCTTATTGGAGAGCGACGACCTCCAGTCTTGATCCCATCATCTAATATTTGCCTTTACTGAAACCTAACTCGTCAGTATGTTCTACCACATTAGAGCTAGATGCACCCAATATAGCCAGAGAGTATAAATTCATAAAAATCTTACACGTTACGGGCTCTTTCATTACGTAGCCTGACTTGTTTGTTCCTTCATCATCTAAACTATACTGATGCTTATAGGTTAAACAGGTTCAACAATCAAATCCTTATTGGTCGAGTCACTTCATACCTCATTACTTCCTATTTAATGATATGACTCTCCTAAATTGGTTAAAGCAAATTGAAAAGGAAGAACTATAACTCTTGCTGTGGACCATAGTTGTCATGGCGCATGGCGACATTCATGGCGATGGGCCAATATCGCATGGCGATGGCGATGGCGCATATATGGTGTTGCCACAAGACACTTGTCAGAATATTAATTTACTAATATTTGCACATGTATAAGGAATATATTCTATAAAAAACAATAGATTAAGACAAAAAAATGTCAGAAAAATTATGTGAACCTGTCAAAATAGAAAATTATGATAGGAAAAAAAGTAATGGCCAAAAAATTATACCAGAAAAAAATTTATGGCAGAACAAATTGAATAAAAATATATTAAACATTGCCAACACAGTACTAATTATTTAAAACAGAAAAAGGAAGAAAAGCTTTCAAGAAAAAGTAAAAAAGAAGTATACTGATGTATTAAAAAAAGGAAAAAGGAAGTACTAGTCAATTACCTGATACTGCTTCGTCAATCTGTGAGTCGCACAAGGAGTGGGTTGCGACCAGAAGAAGAAGCAGCCGATACGAAGAAGACGTCGATTGGGAATTAGCCCTGCCGGTTTTGCGCGTCGATTGGGATTTGGGAATCGATTGAGAAGATTAAAGGGTTGGAGACTAGTAATTAAAGGTTTAATTTCTTTATTGGGCCTAATTTATTGAATTTGGGTCGGGTTAAATTAAAAAAATGGCGTGAGAATGGCGATGGCGTGGCGATGGCGCCGATTTGGCGCTGCCACAAGACAATCGACCGCCACTGCCCAATTCATGGCGTTTCGGCTCCAGATCGCCAATGGCGCATCTATGGCGCGCGCCATTTGCGCCATCGATAACTATGCTGTGGACTGGAAGGCTCTGCACCAGACCGAACCTACTACGAGAGTGAGGAAGATGCCAATCAGTTATCCAACCTCCCCCGCATACATAATAACATAATAGTAATATAACATATAGCTCTTCGATTGCTCGCTTCGTACCTCTACCTGTTTTTCCTTGATAAAAGGAGAACCACCATATTAGTTAAGGCTATAATAGAGGTCACAAATATTCCATTGACCATACTACTATGGTCAACTATACCTACGACTTCAATTTGTCCCACTCCTGAGACGCAACAGCAGACTACATAACTTTAAGGAGATATCAAATTATATCTCTAATAGAAATATATTAGACAACCCAAAAGGTGGAGTTAAAATTTTTTTTTAAATTACAATAAATTAAAATAGGAAAGAATTAAATATAATCTGATAGCATTTTGGGGCCCGAATGGACCGCTTTGGACGAACGCGTTGTAGACCCGAACGATCTGCTAGGTCGGTATAATCGGGGACAACCCCCGTATCACAACCCCCAAAGAAACAAACTTTTTACAATAATTATAAATAACTTTACAAAAAAGGTTAAAAGAGTGGAAAGTGAAAGCTTCACATTCTTTTGAAAAGCATTGAAAAACCTCACGGTAAGAGGAAACTAAAGAATATATTTTCTGTGCATTCTTTTAAAGGGTTAGATAATGTTTTGGGTTTTTTTCACTAACAATACAATGCAAGCTAGGTTTAATCATATGGTAAAATCTCTCAAATAAAAAACAACATAACCAATGTTTCTTGTTCCGTAAAGAAAACTATATACTTCGTATTCACTTAAATAAAGGCCCCTCATCTTGCTCAAAGTGGTATAAATAAAGTGGTATAAATAAAGACCCTCATCTTGCTCAAGCTGCTAATTTGAGGGTACCAAACCAATACATATTAATCTAGGGACATAAAAGATATACGGATAAAGAAATCAAACTTTCCATACAACTTTCAAAAGACTAAAAACTTCCTTAAATAGTAGCTACAAGGTTTTGCTCTAATGTGCTCATAATTTCTCTAAACTTTCCATTCCCTTATTTTTCAGTCCACCATGATTCAAAAAAGAATAAAATATCAGAAGAAATTGAATCAACACAAGGGGTTTATAGCTGCCAGATTCAACAACCTAGCTTTTGCATTTGAATTCACCTCAATTACACTGCCAATACCAACTAGAGAAGATGTACTCATCAACTTGGGCACTCATCGCACACAGTGCGATCCTTGCTAGTAATATAAATATGACCTAAAAGCACAACCCTACCCAACTTATAAAAGCCCATAAGAAAACAAAATTCCTTTTGGGCTTTCTGGTCCTTTGCTCCCGCCCATCGGAAGCTGCTAAACCTAACTCTTTCCCAGCAAACAATCAGATCTCTGATATCATCGTCTTCTCCATCGCATCATGCCAACTTCTTCTTCTACCATGAATCCGGCCGACAAAGCTGATTTATTGGGCGAGTCTCTCTTCTCTAATGTTCTTTTTTTTGTAAAAAAACTTATCTGCGCTACTCCAATCTTATATGTGAATCATGATTTATTCATTTATTTAGGTTTTGATTGGATGGCATTTGCTGAATATGTTGATTTTAACTATGTCTGTTTTTTTGCCGGTCTTCTATTAGGTAAGCAAAAGCAAGAACCAAAATATGAGTGGGAGACCAAACGGACCCCGAAGAAACCTAAGGAAAGCTCCCCTGAGGAGGTAACGGTCCTATTCTGGGGAATCGTCTTCTTCTTTGACATCACTTTTTCTTTATACTCTCTTCTAATGGCTACTCATAACTCAATGATTTGCTTGTGTTCACCAGGAGGTCAAAGGAAGGGTAGAGTTGTTGTCTGAGGCTAATTTAAATCCAATGAAGGTTTGATTTTTGCAAATTCAAATATTGTATTGTTGGTCAGATATGTTGATGATTAGCGTTAGCGTTTTGAAAAAGTTAATTTGGGACAGCGTTTAACGTTAGCTTTTTCAAATGAATCTACACCGTTGAAATTTTATTCAAAACGCTAACTCTAATCACTAATGCTATTCCCAAACAGGTCCATCATCTCTCTATCTATCTATCTGCAGCGTTAGTAACAGAATTGATGCAACAAAGATGACTTTTTATGAGGATGAATCTGCCAGTGAGGCTACTTTTTGTGGTTGTGCAGTTCAAGGAATTTTCTCTCTATAGTTGTGCTAACACACTTGGTTGTTAAATTCAGGTAGTTTCCGCAAGAAAAAAGACGCTCATTATTGACAACCTCGCTCCCCGAACCCAAGTATCAGACATGTAAGTAGCACCTTTAATTTCCTGTTTTGTTCTTGGAGCAAGTTTTTCATGACTAACATTTTTTCCTCCATTTCCACAACATCAATTTCTTCAAAGATGTTGGAAGAGTTGTTAGTGTTCGAAGATTTGTAAACCACAAGGGCGGAAAGCTTAGCTTTAGCTCTGTTGAGTTTGCTTCTGCAAATGAAGTAGAGAAGGTGAGATTATTTTTGTAGTCATGATGAAATGTATCTTAGTAGTCATTTGGAAAGTAGTGCAACTTATGATGAAAATTATACAAGTGGTTATTTGAAATTAAAGTACCATTGCTGATTAAATCTTTTATACTGCAGGTGCAGGAAATGAAGAATGGTGAATATTTGCATGATAAGAGGATTACTCTTGGATTGGCTAAGATAACTCCATACCCTCAAAGACCCAAGTAAATTAATCTTCCATGTCATGGAGATTTGTTTCTATAACTTGTTGTTAGAGCTTTGATGCCATTGCGTAAGATTAACACAATTATTTTTGTTAATTTGGTTTTGCACAGGACACAAGGTTTGGTAAGAGATTTAACTTCTTGCCTCTTGAGTTTGTTATCAAAAAGAGCACATTAGGTGAAGTTTTTGATATATATATATATATATATGTATGTATATATATATATATATATATATATATATATATATATATCAAAGCTATAACAATAGTTATTCTGTATCATTCAAATATTCACCATTCTTCATTTCATGCGCCTGCAGTATAATGAGTATGTGTGTGTGTGTATATATATATATATACACACACACACATTCACACACACACACGTATATATATATATATATCAAAAACTTCACCTAATGTGCTCTTCTTGATAACAAATTCAAAATGCAAAAAGTTAAATCTCTTACCAAACCTTGTGTTCTATGCAAAGCCTAATTAACAAAAATAGTTGTGTTAATCTTCCGCAATGGCATCAAAGCTCTAACAAATAACAATAAGTTATAGAAACAAATCTCCATAACATGGAAGTTTTATTTACCTGGGTCTTTGAGGGTATGAAGTTATCTTAGCCAAGCCAAGAGTAAATCCTCTTATCATGCAAATATTCACCATTCTTCATTTCCTGCGCTTGCAATATAAAAGATTTTCATCATATATATGGAGAGCTCACACGAGTTTTTGAAATTCGAGGTACGAAGACTGCATTCATTTATTTTCATCATATATATGGAGAGCTCACATGAGTTTTTTAAATTTGAGGTACGAAGACTGCATTCGAAATGAATGCTTTCCGATAGTAGAAGAGGAGATACCTCCCCATTTTTTGAGGTACCTATTCTTATCATCTACAAAACCTTCCTTGATCAGAATAAACGCCTAGCTTTTAATATCAGAACTGTCGTCACTTAGCTAAAAGATGACTTATTTTATGTATGAATCGTTACAAGTGTCTACGTTTTGTTATGCAATTTAAGTCTTTTTTTCTTCATAGAGTCGCACTAACACACTTGGCTATTAAATTCAGGCAATTGCATCGAGAAAAAAGACGATCTTTGTTGCCAATCTCTCTCTCCAAACTGAAATGTTACATATGTAGGTAGCACCTTTGAAATCGTTCTCGGGGCAACTTTTTCATGACTGATATTCTATCTATTTTTACAGCATCAATTTCTTCAAAGATGTTGGAAGAGTTATTAGTGTTCGACTTATTGTAAACCATAAGAATATGCATGTGAGTTATGGATTTGTTGAGTTTGTTGGTTCTTATAGTGCAAAGAAGGTGAGAGTAGCTCTGTGGTATTGCTGAAAAAAAATATTGAAGTAAATCAAATGATGTATATTGTATACTCTTCATGAAACATATACTAGTTTTTTGAAAGTATGATAGCTGATTAAATCCGCTACACTGTAGGCTCTGGAAGAGAAGAATGGTGAGTATTTGCACGATCATTAGATTTTTCTTGATGGTGCTAAGGCAACTCCATACTCTCCACGTCCCAAGTAAATGAATTTGACATGTTATGGATATTTGCTTATGTAACAGTGGTCGTAACTTATTGCAAGAGTTTTGATGCCATTACAGAAGACCAACAGTATTATTTTTGTTTATTAGGTACAGCCTTACAGAGAAGCTTTGGTAAAGGATTTAACTTCTTGCCTCTTGAGTTTGTTATCAGGAGCACAATGGGTAGGAGCACAATGGGTGTGGAGTTTTTGGTGTACATGGAGAGATCACAATGGTTTTTTCGATATTCCTGGTACGAAGACTACCTACAAAGCCTTCTGATAGAAGAAGATGAGACACTGGAAGGACACGAGTTTGTTGAGGTACCGACTCTTCTCCCCTACAAATTATGTCAGGATCAGAAGAAACCCTTAGCAATTAATAAGAAGCATAACCGTTGCCACAAGGATGACTTAATATGCGATGGATCCCCTTCTTTTTTGTTGTTATGCGGTGTAAGTCCTTTTATCCTTACAGTCGTGCTAACAGATTTGGCTTTTAACTTCAGGCAGTTGCTGTAAGAAAAAAGACGCTCTTTATTGGCAATCTGACTCCCCAAACTCAGATATCTGACATGTAAGTAGCACCTTTATTTTCCTCTTTCGTTCTTGGAGCCAGTGTTTCATCACTAATTTTTTAACCTCCACTTTTACAGCATCAATTTCATCAAAGATGTTGCAGCAGTTGTTTATTGTAAACAATGGTGGTGATCACGTGGGCTATGGTTTTGTCGAGTTTGCTTCTGCTGACGAAGCCATGAAGGTTAGAGTAGTTTTGTAGTAAAGATGAACTGTGTTTTTAGTAGTCATTTGAAAAATAGTGTATACGTGTGTTGAAAATTACACATGTAATTTGAAAGTACCATTGCTGATTAAATCTGTTATATTGCAGGCGCGGGAAAAGAAGAATGGTGAATTATTGTGCGGTCATCATGTTATTCTTGGCGCGGCTGAGATAGCTCCACACACTCCACTACTACACATGTAAATTTGTTTTCCATGATATGGAGATTTGATTCTGTAGCACTGGTTGTATCTTATTGCTAGAGTTTTGATGCCATTACAGAAGACTAATGCTATTATTTTTGTTAAATAGGTATTGCATAGATCACAAGGTTTGGTAAGAGCTATAACTATTTGCTTCTTAAACTTTATTATCAAGAGCACATTGGATGAAGTTTTTGGTATAGATGGAGAGATCACAAGGGTTTTATATATTCAGCTACGAAGACTGCCTTCGAGGAGAAAGCCTTTTGATAGAAGAAGATGAGGTAATAGAAGAAGATGAGGCAGTGGAAGGACTTGATGATTTTGTTGAGGTACCTGTTCTAATTATCTCTCAAAGTATGTCATGCTTAGAAGGACTGTTTAGCGTTTAATAACACATATGTTGCCGCAAGGTCGTAAGATCTACTTATTCTGAGGATGAATCTACTTTTGATTGAAATGCAATTTAAGTCTTTTTCTCCTTACACTCTGCTTGGTTCAAGGAATTTGAGAGGGAAAGGAAGAGAAAATGAGAAAGAAAACATTTTTCTTGTTTGGTTAGAGAAGAAAAGAAAAGAGAAGGGGAAGGAAAAGAAAGTGAGAAGGCAAAATGTAGCAAGGAAAACAAAATTCCTCCCATTTTGGCTGTTGAGTTCAGGAAGTTTCTTCGAAAAAAAAGACACTTTATTTCAAATCTTGATGTGGAATGTGAAATACAAGATATGTAAGTAGCACCTTTAATTTCCTCTTTTGTTCTTGGAGCAAGTTTTTCATGACTGATAATTTATCTTCCATTTATACAGCTTAAATTTCTTCCAAGATGTTGAATTTAGTGTTCGACTTATTGTAGATTACGAGAGTAAGCTTGTGGGTTGTGGCTTTGTTGAATTTGCTTCTGCTATCGAAGCAAAGAAGGTGGGAGTAGTTTTGTAGTAATGGTGAAGAGTATGCCAGTTGTCATTTGGAAAGTAGTGTATACTCAGTATATAAAATTATACAAGTAGTCATTTGAAAATCCGATCTGATTAAATCTTTTGTAAGGCAGGTGCTGATAAATACAAATCGAATGAGAGAAATGACGGGTGATCTCATTAATCTTGACGTGGCTAAGATACGAGTAGCTCAGTACCCTCTCCGACCCAAGTAAAATGGTTTTCCATGTTGTGGAAATTTGTTTCTCTAATGTACCGCATTGAGTTTTTATTTTTTAATGTCATTTCATAAATGTAATGCTATCATTTTTGTTAATTAGGTACAACCTCACAGTGAAGCTTTGGTATGGGATTTAACTATTTTGCCTTTTGAGTTTTGTTATCAATAGTACATCATGTGAAGTTTTTGGCATAGATGACAGGGGTTTTTGATATTCCACGTTCAAACACCAGTTTCCACCAAAATGCCTTTGGATAGAAGAGGAAATGGAGGAGTTTTGTTCGAAGAAGATTGCCTTCTCTTACGATGATGATTGATATAAGAAGATTCTCTTTGGTGTTTTTAAGTTGTGGTCTAGTTTATTAAAAATTAGAAATTGAGGTACTTCACATATGAAGGGATATTATTCTCTCTAGTAAAATTCAGCAAGCTCTGAGATATATGCCTTAAAATGCGTTCGAGGCTACTGAAGAAGGAGGGGTTCTTATCCATTCATTATTACGTACTCCGTACTAGTTTATTACATTGCTACCAATCAATTAATGTGAAGAATAGTAATTAATGCGATGGAGGATACGACTACAAACCAATTTTATATGGTGTATATACCAAGGGGAAAAAGACTGGTAAAATATAAAGTAAATTTTCAAAATGATACTTTGTATTTAATAAAGTATGTGTTTTTCTAAGTTAGTCTCTAAGATAAATTAATTATTGAGATGGTACTTGCAAATTGAAAAAATAATGTCTAGTTTAGTGCCCCCAACTAATAGCAAAAAAAAGGCATTAAAACATATACTTGTTTTCCAAATTCATTGTATAATCTTTGTCCCAGAAAATTATTTTCTGATTTGACTTTTGGTGTTTTAAAGGAAGTATTTTTTGGTGTTTGACTTTTCAATTTTACCCTTAGAGTTTTTTGAACAGGATCATGAATAGTGATTAATGAATGTGAAAGAGTAATTAAAAAGTAAAATGTGATATGAGAGGTAATGTGAGAAAATATGGTTAAAGAGGGGTATTGTTGTCCATTTTGGAGAAACTGAAATGTTTTATGAGACGAATAAGATTAGAAAGTTGAATTATTTTTTGAGATGGAGAGAATATATAATTCGATATTTTTTCAAATTAGTTGATTCTCAATGTAAAGACTTACCTGATATCAAAAATTGAAGCATGATTCTTCCTTTTTAATTGATTCAAGGTGTTTGAGCGACGACGGGAGACCCTTTTTATGAGTTTTTATTCCAAAAATTGAGTAATTTGAAAAAAATGATTATAAATTATCATTTTGGAATATAAATATAATGTTTTGACTCCATTTTGATGGCGGTTAGTGGGGACTCAACTAGACATTACTTTAAATTAACGAGTATCATTTCGGTAATTAGTTTTTTTTAGAGACTATTCTAGAAAAAAGTACATAGTTATTGAATACCATTTTAAAAATTTCCTCTAAATATATACTACAATAAGAACATCATATTTTATTAAATTTAAATATATCCTCCATTTTCTCAAACTAAGAACTTTCAAATCTAACTAGTATTTCACCCATGCAATACACGGGAATATATATTCTATCATCTTTTAAATTATTAATATTAGGAAAAAATAACTACGTCAATTTTGGTAATTTTATTAAATGTATAATTTTTTTTAGTTATAGACAATTACATTAACATCATTTTTGAAAGATACAAATTGATAATGATCTAAGTGGTATTTACCAATTAACAGCACATTGTCACCAAAAGTCAATTTTTGAATCCCATAAATTTGTAACGAAAATCCCATAAATTTGTAAAGAAAATTCGGAAAACTTTTTCAAGATCTCTTTAAGTATCGTCCTGCCAAAGAATTTTAGCATAAAAGAGTGGTTGCTAGTTTTCGTTGTTTGGTAATTGTGTAGTGCTTTGACTCTTATCAGTAGTCGACCTATCTGACAGTGCAAATGGAAAAAAGTGAATCATAAAAAATTACATCCAAGGATTTGGGCGGAGAAATGATAAACTCTTTTCGCTCTTAATTTAAGAATCAAAACTAATGACCTCTCACTAATATTTTTTACATTTGTTAACAATTCGAGAAATGCTAGATTCACAAATTAAATGGAGTTCAATAAACAAATAAAATAGTCTAGAATAAATTTTAAAAAAGATTACAATTCACAAATAATAAGTTTTTGAAATTTCAGATTAGTTTGTTTGTAAACCTAGCATTTCTCATAAAAATATATTGCATATGCATTAATTTTGGTAAGCATCAATTAACAATTTATACGGAGTACTGTGCTTCCATTTTTTTGGATCGGAGAATACAAAAAAAATATAGCATACTAATAAGTTTTCATTTTTATTAGAAGAAAACCCCCTAAATAAGAGTAAAACATGAATCATATTCTCAAAATAAGAGTTCAAACTTAATCTCCTCTGAATATGAGTAATTAATTAAATACTCCGTATATGATTTGATTAACCCTTCTAGCCGCACAAACCAAGTTGGGCACACAAACCAAGTTGGACTCCCAATTCCTTCTATTTACAATAGCAGCAGGAAAAATCGCCGCCCAAATGTTATGTCAACCGTTCAACCCACGATCTCTGGCAGAATGAGAGGCACATCTCTGGGATAAGGCAGAAACCGCAGTTCTCTCCACACAAACCGCAGTTCTCGCCATCTCTGGAATGTACGATGTAATTCCAAGTCTTTTTGTCGTCCTCGACGCCGTAGAGGATTAACCCGTTGCAAGAATCAATCAAGAAGGGGAATTTGTTCTGGGGGGAGGAGTTGACGGTGCAGAGCTCGGCGTTGTGGGGGTACTGGAGTTTCAAGAGGACGGATTTTTGAGAGATTCCGAAGGACCAGAGGTGGCCGGAGAACGAGACCGGAGTCGGTGACGGGCGGGTGGTGGAGCCGGACTCTGGCAATCAATTGCTGCCATGATTTGGAAACGGTCTCCAGCTTCGCTAGGGATTTCAGGGGGACGAAAGAGAAGATGGTTTCCACGATTTCCACGTATGTTTCGATTGTTTTTAGCATTAGTTAATTATATCTCATACAAAAATTCGGCCATGCTTACCCATGAATTTCACGGCTAGGGTTTATAATAATCAATATTTTAAGATTCCCTTCTAGCAATCTCTGATGAAAGTTTGATTTTAACTTCGGGTGCAACCTTAGCACTGTAGTTTCGATCTTCAATTGATTTTAAAAGATGATTTCAGGGGCAGTGAGATTGAGGTATTACTATTATTTATTTTAATTCAAATTCTTCATCACCTTCATAACTAGAGAATAAACTTTTCTCTTTCACTCTGCTGGTGAACCCAATATCCCTGCTACGTATATACAAAAGCAGGATTTTTTGTTGCTCTGATGAAGAAGATTCTTAGGACCTGAACGATGGAGATGACAATGACCTCAACAATTGTTCATGCTACCTTTGATGAGCTTTTAGTTATTTCTTTTTTGACCTTACACCATAATTCTTTGTATTTGTGAGATGGGTATCTTAATTCGAGGTTGGAAGCTATATTTCTAGGGCACCGATCTCTTCCCCCGTTCTTGCGGGTGGGCGGATTTTCCGGTTTAACTTTAGGTCTAGACGAAGAGGATGGTGGCTATGCCTTCTAAGCAGCGATTTTGCAAGACATACAATTTGGTATAATACGATCTGAGAGTTATACAATTCCAATTTTAAAATGTTCTTTTTATTAAATCATGATTTTCAGATAAATAAAATCCAATTTTATAAATTGGATTATCAAATATTAAATAATTTTATGTTTAATTTCATTTTCTGTTTATAGAGAAATGTGAGTGTTTGAATCCTAATGTTAAGCTTTTCAAATAACTCCTCGGTAAAATATCTTTGAATATTAAAGGCTCCTATACAGTAGGCTAATAAACTTTCTTTTTGTCATTACTCCCTGATGGAGCAACTTTGTTTGCTTACCCATGCTCTAAGAATCTTAAAAGTATTTTTCGTGCATACTGGCATTGCATGCTTTGGGAATACCCACTTTGGAGGCATCATAATTGAAATGATATAGAATAGTTTTTGGTAATAGTATTTTTTGCTACTATATTAGATGGTCTTATTGCAAATTCCTCTTCCCTCAAACACTTACGTATGCAATGTGTGTCTTGATGTTAGGTCTTAAACCCTTATTGGAAGGCTTAAAGCTATTGCACCTGGTGTTATTGTTTGGTATATATAGTGTACCTATAATGATCTACTCCATGAATAAAGTGACTAGAGCTTCGATTCAACATTGAAGCAGATAAAAAAAATTCCTCCTGGTCAATTGCACATGCCAATGAGAAGTTCTGTAAACATCTTCCATTAAAGATACTTGACACTGAGGGTAACCTTTCAAATTTTTGAAGTCCCTGTAAAAAATTTTAAACAGGTTGTGGAGGATGATCAATTGACCATGAGTGTGGCTCTATAGGGAGGTACACATCTGTTTAATTGAATATCCAAACCTCAAATTCTATAGAAATAAGAAATTGGTATTGCTTTGAAAAAATATACCCCGAGTAATTTTTTTGGGCTAGAGTCTAGGTCTGCAGCTCTTCTGCCCTAGACCCCTTAATGTGGAATTTTCAAAGGTTGTTTGGTTTATAATTGTGGGATGGTAAGAAAATCAGAGGATTTAATTTTACATTTTTAATTATGTTTCTTTTGTTGTTGTTGAAGCATTCTGTTGCAGTGTTGCTTCTCTATTGCCTCCATAAATATATTTTTAATGGGTTTCAATGTTTTTATTACAGACTGAATGCTTCATATATTTCTTTTTTAAATCCTTTTTGGACTTTTTGGAATCAAATATGTGGATTCTGTGATTTACTAAAATACTTATTCCGTCTCATGGATGGGATTTGGTGGTTTACAGTAGCAACACAGCAAGGATAAACGTATTTAGAGAAAAAGAGGTATGTGTTTCTTCATATCTTTATCTCCTCAACATGGGAGGTTTGCACTTTATTTATTTAAAATTCATAATATTCCATCATTACAACAATAAATTTTTACAAGTGCATATCTTTCTTACACACTTGAACTATGGGTATGTTTTCTGCTTCTTTTATCATAGGAAGGAGAAGATTATGGTCTTGCAGTTGGCTATAGTGATGACTCTCTTTATTTCTGGGACATTTGAAGTGTAAGAGAATTTGTCAAATAAGTTGTTCAGGTTTGTTCGTCTAAGGTTCTTCTATTGAGTAAACTAAGCTATGTCTAGGCATTCTACTTTTTTCTTGCAAATAAAAATATATACTGTATCATATGTTAGAAGGTCAAAGTGACTTAGCTTACACAAATTGCCATATTTGACTACATCATTTAAAGAGGCTTTATCATTGAGCATGTGCAACTTAAAGTAATATGGCAGTGCAGAGCATTTGGAACCAACAATGTTTGACTTATCTTCTGGTGGTGAAAATTTGCAAGAAAATGAGAGCCCATCATGAAGCTTCATTTGAGTCGGTCTATTTACCTTATAAATAGAGTATTTGTGTGATGTTTTAGTGTATGAAAAAGAGAGCTGATGCTCTAAAAGAAAAGAAGAAAAAAAGGGCAGTAACCTTATTTACAAGTGTCGCAGCACTAATATAAGAGAGGATAAATTTGAGAGTTTATTAGAGAGTTGAAATATTTGTGTTGTAATTCTTTGATCTTTGTATAATAAAAATATTTGTGAGCACCTAAAGCTAAACCAGCACAGATCTAACACCAAACTACAATAACTTTCGTGTCAACTAAAGTCAAACCACCTGTGAATGTAATGTTAAAAGAGGTTTGTTGTGCAAGTTTCATGCAAATTCTTATTTCCAATTGTTTATGGTTTAGCATATAGCATCATGTTCTTTCTACTTTAATGATAACCTTTTAAGTGATGTTTGGGATATGTCCTATTTTGTGTAGATATATAGTGCTAGCTTGCATGCTTGCTCGAAGGAAGCATTGGTTAGTCACAATTATGTAGAAACAAGGAGAAATTGTGGGGCTATTTATTTGAAGCATTGGTGCTACCATCTCCCTATTGCCCAAGTTATTTTTTATTTTATTGTATAAAAGTATACTTTTTTTGGGAGAATTTCTGCATATTCAAGTTATCGCTATTAGTCTTTGTATATATAACATTAGGAGAACTTCGTGCCTAAAAACATCAACCGTAAATAATGTAGGCTTATGCACTTCAAGATCCATCATAGTTTCTTTCAGAAATAATAACATGCAGAGTATTGCTCATTCGATGTTGACTCACATATTTTAATTCTTTATGATAGTAAGATGTACTCCGTATTTAGTTTTGCCCCGTTATATTGGGTATTGTTTTTGTGTGCTCGCATAATTAAGTTTAGAATGAAAAATCGACATCCATTTATAGAGAAAAAAAGATTAAAGTAACAGTAAAATATTGAAAATATATCAAAATAAGACTTCCATGTTTTTATTTTCAAAATAAAAATTAAAATACATTTATATTACCAAAATGATCATGTACAATATTAAAAAATATAATAATGTGCACATGTAGAGTGCCACATTACCACCACATGTAGTTCCTATTTTGGAAATAAAATATATAACTTTTATTTTTGTATTTTACTATATTGTCCTATCTAGAGCGATTTCTATGCAGTTATACTCTGACAAAATATTCTTTACATTAGACTTTTGATAGTTCTAATGTGATGATATTTTGATCATAAAACATTTCTCCAACCGAATATATTTGTACAACTATACTTTGTACATAACCAAATGTTAATTAAAGACAACCATTGTTTTGTGAAAAAACGCTCTCCTCCCTGAGCCATGACTGCGAGGAAAAGGGGGCGACCAAGGAAGAAGAAGGCCAAGGCACCAGCGACGGAGCAGTCAACTCTGAAGCAAAACACTGAGATCGCATCTCCAGACACGGGAGAATCTTCAACAGGTAAGAATGATACTCCCTCGACTGGAATGGTATCTGAAATGAAACGAACCCTAGATCTGGATTTGAACGTTAATCACGGGATAACAATGGGAGAGATGAAGGATCAAAGGGATGACCAGGTGGAACCTAAACGCACATTTGCTAAAGTAGTAGGGTTTAAAGAAGAATCTAACCTTGAACTGAAATTTGTGCAATCTGAGGAAATAGATGGGGTTAGAATGGCAAGAATGTCTGAGGAGGATCTGATGGATATAGCTAATTACTGGGAGGCAACTCTTCTCTGTTGTGTCCTGGGAGCAAATCCTCCACTAAAAATCATGGATGGATTCTTAAGAAGGATATGGAAGGAGTATAGCATTGAGGAAATCTCAGTGCTAAGGGAAGGCCAATTTGTGGTGCAGTTTGGTAAGGAATCAGAAAGGGATGAAGTGTTAAAAAGGAAGTACTACTTCATGGATAACAAGCCAGTGTTAGTCCAAAGGTGGAAGCCAGGTTGGAGAGTGAATCTGGTTGGAGAGTGAATCTGGAAGAGTTAACAGATATACCTATTTGGATCAGAATGCCAGTGCCAGATCTGGACCCAAAATACTGGAGCCTCTCTGGATTAAGTAAAATAGGAAGCATTATTGGCAAGCCAATCAAGAGAGACAGAGCAACTGCAACAATGTCAAAGATGGGCTATGCGAGAATCCAACTGGAAGTGAAAATAAAGCAGCATTTTCCAGACAGTATTAAGTTTATTGATGTGGAAGGGAGAGTGGTATCTCAGAGGATTGACTATGAATGCTGCCCAATAACGTGTGAGAAATGCAAGAAGCTGGGTCACTCTGAGACTATCTGCAGATCTAAGGAGACTGGCCAAACACAGGGGAGAAGAACTATGGTATGGAGACCAAAACCTAAAGCTCACGACAGGGAGGACAGGGTACCTGGGGAAGCAGTTCAGGACAGGGAACCTGTGGAAACAAAGGAACCATCTCCTTCAGAGGATAAAAAGAGAGAAGAATATGAAGAGTTTCAGATGGTTGATAGGAGGAAAAGTGCAAAGAGGGTAATACAGTTTGAGGAGCAATTTGTGAATGGCATAAATAGAGTTTTTCATGAGGACCCCTATGGGGGACATTACCCTTTTCTCTCATGATAGGATCTTGGAATATCAGGGGCTTGAATAGCCCAAATAAACAAGCTGAAATAAGATATTTTATAAATAAGAATAAGGTGGAATTGATGGCAATATTGGAGACTAAAATAAGGAAGGAAAATTTCCAATTGGTAGCTAAGAAAATAAGTAAGTCTTGGGATTCTATAACTAATCACCAGGACCATCACTTGGGGAGGATCTGGGTAACATGGAATCCAAGTAAATTCAGTGTCACAAGGATCAAGAGCTCTGACCAATTTATCCATTGTGCTATAAGAAGGGTAGGAGAGGATTCACAGGATGCCATCACATTTGTCTATGCCCATAATGACCCAAGCAAAAGAAATTCTTTATGGATGGATCTGAAGAAGATACAGGGGGTTACTAATAAGGCCTGGGTAATCATGGGAGATTTCAACTGTGTCCTAGGGATGCAAGACAGAATAGGAGGAAATCCAGTGGGACAAGATGAGATAAAAGAATTCCAAGAGTGCATGAATTGGTGTGGGTTAGAGGAAATGCCAATGGAGGGTGCCTACTATACCTGGTCTAATAGACAGGGACAGGGCAAAAGAATTTACTCTAGGATTGATAGAGCTTTATGTAATCCTGACTGGCTGCTCAAGCATAATACAAAACTGATTGTTAAGGAGGAGGGAATATCAGACCACTCACCCCTACTGATTGTACAAAGAGTTAACACAATTTCCAGAAGTTTCAGATATTGTGACATGTGGGCTTTGGACCCACTGTTTCCAGACATAGTTAAAAGTGTATGGGAAAAGGAAATATTGGGGAAACCCATGTACCAAGTGTGCTGCAAGTTGAAGGAACTGAAGGGGCATCTTAAAGGGCTGCATAGGAATAATTTTGGAAGGAATTTTCAGAATGTAGAGGCCATCAGATCCAAGCTGCATATTGTTCAAACAGAATTGAAATTAGCCCCTATGAATGAGGATTTACTTAAGGAAGAGAGCAATCTGATCCATAAAATGCAAGAGGCTACGAAGGCATCCCTCTTGATGATGAGCCAAATGTATAAAAAGGAATGGATCACTGAAGGGGACTTAAATTCTAAATTATTCTTCTCCTGGCTAAGGAAAAGAAGACTCCAAAACCAAATACTCAGCATTAGGAACAAAGAAGGCCATCTGGTGGAAGGGGAGGAGAAGGTGGCAACTATCATGCTGGATTTCTATGAAACACTGCTGGGAACAGAAGTGAACACAGCTAAAATAAGTAATGATGCCATGGAATATGGACACAAACTTGACATCCCAGAACAACTTGATCTGTTGAAAGAGGTCACAGATGAGGAGGTAAAGGGGTGCCTTTTTGCTATTCCTAATAGCAAGAGCCCTGGGCCGGATGGATACAGCAGTGGATTCTTTAAGAAGCAATGGGGAACAGTGGGGGGACTGATCACCAAGGCAGTCTTAGAGTTTTTCTCTAAAGGCAAACTTCTAAGACAGATCAACAACACAACTCTGACATTGATTCCCAAGATTGAATTTCCTGTATGTGCTAAAGATTACAGGCCTATAGCATGCTGTAATGTGATTTATAAGTCATCTCAAAGATCCTGTGTAGTAGGCTTAAGGAGATTCTGCCAAATACTGTTAATCAAAATCAAGGTGCCTTCGTGCAGGGCAGAGATTTGGCCCATAATATTCTGCTGTGTCATGAATTAACAAGAGGATACAATAGGAAAGGGATCTCACCTAGGTGCCTAATTAAATTGGACATCATGAAAGCATATGATTCAGTTAGTTGGAAGGGTATGATCCAAATCATGGAGCACCTAAATTTTCCTCATCAATTTGTGGCTTGGGTGGAACAATGTATTACTACACCTTCTTTTACAATACAGTTGAATGGAGAAGTTCATGGTTTTTTCAAAGGGAAAAGGGGGCTAAGGCAAGGGGATCCTATATCTCCCTTGTTGTTTGTTCTCGTGATGGAATATCTAAGTCGCTTACTGCAGCAAATGTCCCAGAAGAAAGAGTTCAAATTCCACCCAATGTGCAAATCCCTTAATATTACTAGTTTATGCTTTGCAGATGACCTCATTCTGGTGTGTAAAGCGGAAGAAGGATCCCTTAAATGCATCATGGAGGTGCTGAACAGATTTCAAGAAACGACAGGTCTGAGTATTAATGCAGCTAAGTCACAGATAATTTTTGGAGGAGTTAACAGGATGACACAGGAGAGATTGTTGCAAATCTCTAAACTACAGCTGGGTGATTTGCCTTTTAGGTACCTGGGAAGCCCCATAACTGCTGCCCGAATCAGTAGCAAAGACTGTGATAGACTAGTGGCCAATATAACTGGAAAAATCACCTCCTGGGCATCTAAACATATGTCTTATGCAGGCAGAAGTAGGGTCATTGGGAGTGTGCTCTATGGTATAATGACTTTCTGGTGCAAATTATTTATTATCCCAACAAAGGTTATGAAGAAGGTACAAAGTATTTGCAGAAACTTCCTATGGGGAGCTACTGCCAGTTATGCAAAAAGACCTTTGGTAAACTGGGAGGAGGTTTGTATGCCAAAAGCTGTTGGAGGATTGGGCCTAAGAAATATGGTTCTTTGGAATAGGGCTTATGTATATAACTACTGGTGGGATATTTACAAAGACAAAAATAGCCTCTGGGTTAAATGGATACATGGAAGGTATATTAAGGGGGAGGTGAATAACTATGAGATAAAGGGGGACAGCTGCTTCTATTGGAAGAAAATAGTGCACAACAGAAAGTGGTTTGAGTCTCTAGACACTGCTAAGGGATACACAACTGAGATGGGATATAAGTGGCTAATGGGGCGGGGGGGGGGGGGGG